CACACACGCGCACCTGTAGTGCGGCAGAATGGCCTTAACATCCGCATCGAAGGGCTGCTCCGAGCAGTAGTGCATGCCGAAGGCGTCGCAAGTGAACATGACCCCGGTGGCGTGATCGAATGAGAACATGGTGTCGGGCCAGTGCAGGTTGGGCGCCATCACGAATTCGATGACGTGGCCGCCGCCCAGATCAACCTGTCGGGGTGGTGCGGGGGAGAGAGAGGAAAGGGGGGCCGGGGCGGGGAAAGCGCGCGTGCGCAGCGCGTCGGAAAGGTGGGCGGGGGCCGGGCGGGTATGTGGGGGTGGGAGGGATGGGGTTTAAAAGATCAACAGCCAAACAGGCAGGCAGGCAGGCAGGAGGAGAGGATGATGTCATACACCCGCCCATTCTCCCCCAGCTACCAAGCCGTCCGTCTCCATCCCTCCCCACCAATCACCCGGCGATGTCAACCACCCGGGGCTACCCCCCCACACACATCAATCCCTTCCTCCGCCCCCCAAGCCCTCACCTTGTCGCCACCCTTGACGGCCTGAGCCTTGAATGGCCTGCACACATAAGCCCCACAGTCAGTTTTTGTTCCTTCGTGTTTGTCCTTATATATACTTATATTAAACTCTAATGTCGTGATTACACAGCGCAATAAAGAGAAATTTGACTTGATTTCAATACAATATATTTTCTATGTGCTTTAAACTAAAACATTACTTTGTTATTGATTTTGGTTTGTTTTGGACTTACTATACAAAGAAATAGTTTCGTCACAGTTTTCCTTGCAAAGCCAAGGGTAGATGATTTTTTTCCTACCTGAATAGACTTAGCTAGATAGGCCTAAGTCTAAAAGGGAACGGAGGACCTGACAAATTAATTAGCAAAACTATTCAGTAATTTACAAAATCGCTAGGTTTATTGTAGTTCATAAAATATACTTTATTTTACCGAAGTGATGCCGTAGGGTGTCATTCCATTTAGGGACAATCAAAACCTACAATATACATATCCACTCTATATGTATATGTATATGTATATGTATACACATATATGTATGTGCACACACATATATACATACATATGTTATATTATATCTACATGTGTGTGCGTACTCGCAATACTATTTTCTCCCCCCCCCGTCCTACCTGTGAGTGAGGTTTTGCAGGAAGCTGATGCAGACCTTGGAGCCGCACACCACCGCCTCCGGGTGGAGATCCAGTACGGCAGGCACAAGGCCCGAGTGGTCGGGTTCCGTGTGCGACACGAAGATGTAGTCCAGGGAACGGCCCGCAGCCTTCAGCTCGGCCTGCAGGGCCTACGGTGAAACAGAACAAGAGGGGCGGCGCGCGGGGGAAAGAGGGGTAAGATGAACCACTGGCGGAAAGGGGGGGCGGGATACCTTGAATGCAAACGTCACAAGAGCTAACTGCCAACATCGTCCAACGTTAGCAGTTTTAGGTTTATTATTACTATTTAATTTTGGTTTTGATTTCGATTGAGATTGGCCTCATTTAAATTTCTGTCCTGGAATTCGCATTCTTTACACATTGCTGGGGGGTTTTGGATAACGTAGCACATTTGGGACTTCAGGCGGGAAATTTTATTTTTTTCCCGCCAAAAGAGATAACTGGTGATCATCTTTTCAAGTGTGTGATTGATATTTTTGTGTGAATGGTTCACACCATCCCCTCCCTCCCTCCCCTTCCCCATTCGTTCCCAAACCCCACTGGGCCACATCCGCACCCCCTCCCCCCTGAGTTGCACGAAATGATATACCTCCAAAAACAGGTTATGGAACTTCTCATGCGAGGCGTCCACGAGCGCAGTCTTGTCCGCCCCGTATATAAGGTAGGCGTTATAGGTGGTGCCGTTCTCCAAGCTGTGCGGGGGGACATAAAGCGGAGAGGGACACGAGGGGGGCCGTGAGTGGCTGCGTCAGAGTGGAGTTACATCATGCTGCTGCTGCTGCTGCTGCGAGTGCGGCTGCTGGGGCTCTTGCGACTGCTGCTGCGGCTGCTGCCGGAATGATGTTGACGCGAACTCCAAATCAGCAACTCAGCGTGTGGAGAAGGGACTTCCAGCCCCTTGCGTGTCCTTGCACCTGCGACCCCGCCCCCTCCCCTCTGACCCCCTCGCCGGAGCCCTCTCAGCAAACACAATGCAACCTCAACCAATACAACTAATAAACCCGCCAACCACCCAACCAAACCCTTTCTCTCTCACACACACACACCCATTCCGAACCCACCCGAACTCAATGTCGAAGCGGTCGCGGTCCCAATCAAGCGACCGAATCGTGATGGTGTCCTCCGCAATGGGCAGAACCTGTGGGAGGAAAACGTACGACAAACCCGGGTTAGAAACCCGCACTCACCCCCCGGGGTCACCCGGCCACCACGCGAGCACCCACCTCGCTCCAGACCAGCAATCCTCGTTGTACTCCTCCTCCCAACCCAAATCCCATATCGTCGTACACTCCGTACATTCATTCTTCGCCCTCCGAGCAACTGCTTCCCAAACTCCGACAACCCGTCAGACCGTACGGAAGTCCCCGGCGCTGCGCCCCTGGCCCGACCCAAAACACACACCACGCCGCGTCGTACCCGAACCATCCAGAAAGTACAACACGCGCGCACCAGCTCACACCTTCCCCCTCGGTCGGCAACACGAGGCCGACCACGGTGCTGGGGCCCCTTAGACCCTGAGAAGCCCCGATGAAGCCGTCCTCTACCTGCGTCTGAAGCCGCTTGCCCTCGCTCCACATCACAACCTGGCTCATCTTAATTGGCGCGTCGCCAACAGCAGCGGTAGCAACCTCCGGCGCGGCCTGTAGATATCGGACGGATAAGGGCCCGACATGTAACGAGGAAGCCGACGGGAAGCTGACCGTGGGGGGTTATTAAAGTCCCGAGTATTCTATACTCCTGCTTGTCTTGTGTGGCATATCGTGTGTGGAGCTGGTGAATGGAAAGGCGAAAGAGACAGACCTTGGCAAGGAAGCAAGCCCGATGCTGGGTACAGGTGCAAGTGCCGGCGGGTACCGAAAATGGAAAGGGTGCATTTCGGCAGAGCAGCATGGTGCTGTGTTCTCTCTCTCTCTCTCTCTCTCTCTCTCTTTTCGAGAAGGTGGCGTTGTGGCTTGTTCTGGCACAGATTTATGTAGGCCAAGAGGAGCCGCTTGCTCGGACGGCGCGGACGACATTGCTAGCGGGCCGCGTTCCTACTGGGACCACAACGCAGCTGTAACTTACCGGTGCAGCCACCGCCAGCACCTTCACCGCGCGGCTCCGGCCCAAGATAGCTCGAGCCGCCTGCGTAGGGAGGAGGAGTAGTATGTGGAAAAGGTAGTCATTGGCATGGCTGAGAAAGGTGTTAAGAGAGTCCGCGGGTGCGGGTGCGTGCTGCGCGTGCGAAGGTTTGTGGCAACCAAACACTGGACCCCGCAACCGCGACCGCGAACGTAAAATGAGAACTTCTGTAAGCAGAAATTTCGCGTCGCTATGATTGGGTGGTGCAGCGGAGCGCGAAGGAGGTGTTGTAGGTTGTTAGCAGAAATGGGAGGGTGTGGCTCCACGCCGGACGCTGCGTATCGGGACCATTGTACAATGCTATCAGATTGATTGTCAAGAGCGGTGGAAAAAAATATCACGAACTAAACACAAGCCAGATGCACGTATGCGTCGCATAGCTTGGACCTACCTTTCGCGACAAGGTTGGCCGCGCCACGGGAGTGATACCTTGGCGTTGTAGGGATTGCATTCTTCAGTGCGTCTAAGACAAGATTAAGCTGCTGATCTGGCGAGCGCAAGTATACTGTCCGCACGCAAACGTATCCGCGTCTCCCACCAAAAACCTTCAATATCTCGTACGAACAACCCGCAGAAAGGTAACCGATGTAGATATCATGTGTTAGGGTCATTTTTTACAAACAAACCTGCAGTACAAACGTACGGATTCTTGTGCATTTGCGGGATTACTCGGCGGAACTATCTCATGCCTCACTGGCAGGGCCTTCATCGAACTTTGTAGATTTTGCTGTTGCTCGTGACAATCCTCGCTTCTCAGGCTGAAGCCAACTCTAACTAGTTGTTGTAGCCGAGTGTATTAAATAGAATGGCCAGGGCACAGGTTGAGCGCTGGGCTGCGGAACACCCAACAGCGCCACGTGTTGGCAAGTTTTTTGAGGTTCCCCTCAGCTATGTTTTCCCTCGCGTTGCGGCCGGCCTCGCCGCTGCTGGCGCGTTGTGGTACCTGAATGAGGCTTTGTTCTGGACCCACAAGCCCGAGAGCCTTTCGCCTGAGTTCCTTGAGGAGAAGAAGAAGATTGGCGACGTTGCGGTGAGTTCCGATTGCTGATGATAGTTCCGGTACCTAACTGCAGTCGTGTCCAAGGTTGTGGCGCATGAAATGTGGAACCACAAGGCACTGTGACGTTACATGCCGGGCGTTCTGGTCCATCCAGCGTAAATGGTGACGTGAGGGACAGGTCCTTCACTGCCCCTCCGCGGATGCATGCGATAGTCATATACTAAATTGCGATGCTGTTTTGCTTTAGTCTTGGTCAGCGCAAGGACTTGTTCCACTTATTTAGCTTGCCCGGTACAACTCGATGCGGGTGCTGACTCTTTTCCGAGAGTCCTTTAAACATTGCCAATGGCCTTGTTCCTTATTTACGGTCCTACTGTTCCTTTGGTATTAATCCAATCGCAGCAACGCATGAATGGTCCGCCGGTCTACCTGAACCCCTTCTCCAACCGGATACCTGGCAGCATTTTGGGCCCTGAGGACGTGAAGGATGCTTGAAACGTCTTGACTGTGTCATGATGCGCGAGGGGGGTCTCGTTTGGTCCACGGTTTAGTGGTCCACGGCGCAACGTCGCGTTCGGCTTATCTTTTTTAAGGTTCATGGTGTTTGCAACGGCTCCGTAACAGGTGGCGGGGAGCGGTTACGATGCCCTGTGGTTGCTTACACACGTTAGGGTAGCTTTTGGGGCAAGGGGCTTTTGGGGCGAGAGCGAACTTGCAAATAATGGTGGGGTGGTTGGGTTTAGGGGTTACGTGGCAATTCCCCTTCTGTAACATTCATACACATACGGGTAGACTCAGCGTCCGAATTCATCGCCCTTGTTGGCACGGTATCTTTTCTTATGAGAGGCCTCCCTATCAACGTCAGTTTTGTGAACAATGGTAGGCTCATTCGTGGCGTGACGTGTTGCTGCAAGAGGGTGACGAGGTTTTGACGGCCCATGGTCTCGCACGCATTCGGAGGACAACGCCTCAGGGAACGCTCATCCAGGTTGCTTAGCCATCGCTGGAGCAGAAGGTCACTGGCATCATCTTTTGTCAACTTTCGACAGCTGAGCACGCTTCGGGATGCAATGTGAAGGCCATGCACCGGTATATCCGGCCTCCAGCCATTCCACGGCGGGCCCCCATCAGACCATTAACGTGCCGCGTAGCCCCGTCAAATCCTAATCAATTGTTGCGTACGCCACGACGCTGTCAAAACTAAACTTCCTAAATCCTCGATGTGAACAAAAGCCACAAGTCGACCCCCACACACAGAGCTAGGCTCCATGGGCGGGTGGTGCGATGCTTTTGCCACAATACACTTCGTTACTGATGACACATTTGCAAGGCAACTTGGGGTTTCCCTCTACACCGCAGCAGGAAAAGCCGTCGATTCCGTCGGCGCTACCGCCGTTGGTGGCGCTGGTACTTCCAATCCTTCCGATTTGGACGGTTGTGGCGCCGCCACATCAGCTTCAGCTGCTGCTGCTGCCGCTGCCTCCCGCTGCCTGGCTCGCTCCACCCGCGTTGCCTCCCAAGCTGCGTGTGCCCGAATTACTTCCTCCTGGGCCTGCAGAACGGCACAGTTCGGTACGACACCGTAGGAAAGGCAGTGCAACGGGATAAATGCCGTTTATTAACTCTGTTACCCCGGTCGAGGCCCCATGAAACATAATGCTTTCAATTTTCAACCCTGCCACCTCCACCACAGATATACATACATGTACATACATACGGAATGTTATTTGGAAATTCGCACACGCCTCAGCTTAACTGCCAGCACGTGGCAGCAGCATCACGACTTCATACAACAAACACATACGCGTGCGACACACGAACACCCACAAACACAAACAAAAGCACCCCTAAGTCGCGGCGTTTTTGGGCGGGGCCCCAGCGCGAAGCGCCCAGGGGGGCCCCGACCTGTAGGATTGCCCATGTCCGTGTGTGTGTGTGTGTGTGTGTGTAACGGACCAAACATAATATCTCGCCTGGCTGAAACGCGTTATAGGTACTATACAGCATTCTCTATTGCAAGGTATCTCGCATGTAGCCAACAAAAATCGTATGAGCGCAAACAAGTTTGGCTGCCTCAATTGACCGAGGCCAAAGTCACATCAACGCCTCTCGCGCTAAATTTCATCGCAAAAGGTACCGCGTATCTCATATTTGAATTCTTAGATGACGGCGTATGATAACTCGAACTCCCAGGCCTTGAGTGTGTAACGGACCATACATAATATTTCACCCGGCTGAAACGCGTTATCGGTACTATACAGCATTCTCTATTGCAAGGTATCTCGCATGTAGCTAACAAAGACCGTATGAGCACAAACAAGTTTAGCTGCCTCCATTCACCGACCTCAAAAGTCACATCAACGCCTCTCGCGCTAAAATTCATCCCGAAAGCTGCCGCGTATCTCACAATGGAATTCTGAGATGACGGCGTATGATAACTCGAACACCCAGCTTGTGTTACCATTTGCCGGCATGGGCAATCCGACTTGCCACCAGCAGGCCAACATAATTTGCTTTCATTTCTCTATGAAATACACAAGCTGCTTGTTTGTACATTTACTTTGGCCAATGCACGGGGCCTCCTGAGACTTGCGGTGTGCCCCGATGAAGCCCGCGGCTGTGGGGCGGATTGCTGAGGCCGCTGGCGCTTCGGGGATAAACATCACAGACAGCACCGAAATTCACCCAGCTTTCGTTACCATTTGCCCGCACGGGCATTCCGACTTGCGGTCTGCCGCACTGTCCATGCGGCATGCACCCGGAATGCCGGGTGCGGCATGCACCCGGAATGCCGGGTCCATTCCGGGTGCATGCCCGGAATGGATGCGATTCGCGTGGAGCCCGCAGGCGGTGCTGACGATTCCGCCGGTGCAAGCTTAGCTCTCACACCATCAGCACTGCTGCAACAAAGCACATCTCCCACCGCGTTGACACTACCCATCAATTGTCACACTTGCCACCCTTGCTACCGGCCTGTACGGATGCAGAGGGGCCCCGCCCTTTTTCCGGCTTCCTTGAAGCCGACACCCAACTTGTCCATCCCCTGCCTCGGGGCGCTGCACCTCCCCTCCTCCCTTCCCTTCTCTCACCACACACGCCTCCTACCTGTGGATCCCAATAGAACCTTGGTAAGCACCTCTCGAATCGCTCCCAGTCCGGATGTCGCAACAGATCGTTGAGTTGCGGATCCAGAGACTTTTACGGGGGGTTGGGCCATCGAGTAACGGGAGCGGAGTGGAGTGGGAAATTTACAACCATGGGTTCATATTGAACGATGACACGCGCTGTTGTCCTAATCAGGTTATTACTAACAGACAGACAGACCGACAAACGTGGAATCAAGTAAAACACAGTGTCCACACCGGATGATGGACCTCTTGGACGGGGGGAAGACACATCACGTAAACCCTTTTTCCGTACCTGTCGCCTAAACTCCGCCAGGTTGTGTTGTCCGCCGGATCGCAGCTGCAGCCGCTCCCCCGACCAGCGAAACACACGTGCCTCGTCAGCACCCGCCTAAAAAAGCGTACATGATGATGGCCCCGTTGTATGTAGAGAGTTATTTTTAGGCATCACCGCCCACGGCCTTGTGTGTGTTTTGTTCGTTGTTGGATCGGGACCTACATGAACTGCCGGGGACCCCCAAAAAACATGCTCTCTCGCGAACTGCCCAGCTGCACCTCCTTTTCCCGCCCGCACATCACTCCACCCCGAGTGAGTCAGTGGATGAGTGAGTGAGGAACGAAGCTCCTTTCAATATCCAACCTTCCCAACGGCGTTCCTCTCCCTGCCCCCCTCTCCCTGGCCCCCACGTGCCTTCCTGAACGGCGGGAAGGTGCAACCCGCCAGAATGAGCGTGTGCGGGGGCGCCCGGGGCACTGTGACACGGGCCTGACCCGCAAGAGAAGCCCTCAGCAGCGGCAGAGGAAGTGACCCACGGGCCACTGCCAGGGCGCCGCCAATCATGTGACGGATCTGGTGCAACATGAAGCTCATGCCGCGAACCCGCAGTCGTACACAGGGTACACCGCCTGGAGGGGTGAGGGGAGAGCAAGGGGGAGGGGAGGAGGGGGATGGAAGGGTCATACACGCAAGGGTCAAAGAAACAACTGACCACGTTCTGTGCACCCAGCCGGCGGAGTCCGAAGCGATGGAGGAGAGAGGGAAGGTGAGACAGGGGAGGAGAGAGTGAGACAGAAGTTTGAAGACGTGGTGGTTGTTATGGTTGGTACTGTTGGCGGATTAGTTGTGATGCAGGGGTTGGTGGTTATCCGTAATGGTGGGTGTGAGGAGTTTGCATCCCGTATCCCACAGACTCAGCAAAATACAGACATCGATACAGGCGGACACCCATACAGACATCCATACAGGCGGACACCCATACATACAGACATACAGATGCGCGGACAGACAGGTAGATTGCGCACAGGCAAACCTTCTCACCAGGCACAAGCGGCGCCGGGTCGTCTGCCGTGAAGCTCGTAATGGTACGGAAGTGCCGTACGGTGACGCGATCCCGCTTGTCCTCCGATTTCTCGTACAACCATCGACAGGATTGTACCCACCTGCCGGGGCCGTCATCATCTGAGGACTCGGCGCCCTCCGTTGCTCCATCTTCATCATCATCCTGTACGGCATGTACCGCGGAAATTGGACGAGCGTTTCAGCCGGTAGCCGCCGCTCCTGCTACAGCCATTCAAGAGCTTCGTGAGACCGGAAAAAAACTAGTACCATTTCTTCCACGCACGAGTGTACGGCAACGACTGACTTGTACGGCGGCAGCAGACCTTTCGACACGTACGGCACACCTCTAGCGGCGCGTCCTCCTCGTTTGCAGCAGACCTTCGTTGACGCTGCCCCCGCGGCTGCTGCGCCGTGACATCCCCATCTTCGTCCTCGCCACCGTCATCATGGACATCGAATACATCTGCTGCTGCTGCTGCCGCCGCCGTCGCCATTCCCTCCTCATCCTCGTCCGTACNAGCATCGGCAGTTGCGACGGCGGCGGCAGCAGCAGCAGCGTCCGCTTCCCGTGCCGCTCTGCGAGCCTCTGCGCGGCAATAACAAAACGTCAGCAGAACTAGTACGACAGATCCGACGTACCGGCAGTTTGGCCGTTGCGGTTAGCCCCAAACTGTCGTAACTGTCGAATCTAAGCCAGGAATGCCCACGCTTACGTCCCGCTTTTACCATTTTTCTCAAAATACAACTGCAACCCTTCCAAGCAACACCCCAAAATAAGAGAAATGCATGTACGGCATGTCGTACCTTTATCTTTTACCGTATCCACATATGTCTTCCGTTTTGCAGTGTAGTTATGGAAGGGGTGTGTACCCACGTAGCAGCTGAGTGCCTCGCGAAGCTTGGCTAGGGCTTCCTGTAGCGCTGCCGCCTCCTCATCCGCCGCCAACCCATTTGCCGCCGCCGTCGGCGTCGCCGCCGCCAATGCGGCTTCTGCAGGGTTAGCTGCCGCCGTGGCCGGCGACAGCACCGCCGCCGCCACCGCCGCTGCACCACCCGCCGCTGCTGCTGTTTGCAGCAGCAGGTAGGCGGGAAGGAAGTATTCGTAGGTGCGGTCGAAGCAAAATCTGCCGAACGGAAGTGGACGGAGCAAGCGGACGAGGGAAAGGACAGGACATGTCCAGGGATGGTTCGGTACGCGGAACACGACAACAGCTAGAAAGGTACGGGACTGGTTGCCAAGTACGACACGGGAGTGCGCAGGGCGGGGACGAGGCAAACAGGAGCTCAGGAGCTTTCCCAACCCAGGGGCAACCAGCCTCGCACATGCGCACAGGCTCCGAAACCACTCAGCAGCTTTCCATCCCCTGTTCCCGGACACACATAGCGGCCTTCGGGGGCTGGGGGGCTGGGGAGGGTGATGCGGTCCCTTCCCCCCACGGCACATGGGAACACGACAACACATGCCGGGCCCAGCGCCAAGAGGCCACAGCACAATATGGCGCAAGAAGACCTTCCATCCCACACGACACGACACGGCACTCACCGTCGTGCGTTGAACTTCTTCTGCACTCTCTGGGCACTGAACACCCTGACCTATAGAGGTGATAGTGGGAGGTGGGAACGTGTGTGTGTGTTGGGGGGGGGGGGGGTATCCCGCGCAGCTATCTTAGGGTTAACATACATATTTTTACATTTATATCGCATCAAGGTTTCTTGGAAAAGTTTTGATTTTGACGTTTTGCCACTTTTTATCACATCTCGTTCCAATACCTGGAAGCCGACGACCTCCGCAAAAGTCTTATCAGTCAGCTAATTCTAAATCCATAGAACAGGACAGAATTGGAAGGCATGCCCTCCGCCAGAATCAAACTTTTGCGCCATCAAGGTTTTGATCCGGGTCCCAGATGATCAGGATTTTACTTTTAGTTCTCTCGCTTTTCGACCGACGAAGTCGGTTTGGTATCGCGCCAGCCAGCCCTTGTTACGCGATTTTTAGGAGGTGCAGGAAAATAGCAGTGGCGCCGAATATTTCCTAATATTATAGCCACACTGATTAGGCAGGGCAAAAAGTCCAAGAATGCACTGCCCACATTCAAAGCGCCTACTCCCAGAGCCTCCAAGCAATTGAACGAACCGATCCCGTAATTGCCCGTCGTCCTCGACGACATACGGGGTTACCAGCGCCAGTGAAGGGGCGCACGGAGGCCGGGGGCAAACAAATAACGAAACATAACGGGGAGTTCTTAAGTGAGGACAGGAGATGAAGTAAAATGAAGAATCGAGGAAAGGCGTCGTCGTACGGTGCCGTACCAAAACGTCGAGTACGCTACGATGCCACTTCACGTTGCTACCCCGTACCTGCGGCGGCAGGCGTGTGTTAAGGTCGGCCGCGACCTCCAAGCCCTCGGGATCCAAATCGAATCTGGGAGGGGGTGGTTTGAGAGGGTAATGACAGCCGGCGCGGTGAAAGGGAGTGACGGGCGGCAGAGGTGTTTTTTTCCTCTAAATTTGAGAGTGTCGGGGTGGGGTGTGTCGGGGTGGGGTGTGTTGGGGTGGGGGGTTTGAGAAATCCTAAGATACAATAGCGGGAACACATAAGGCCTGGAACACGCCAGGCAGGATGCACGATCTCCAACCCCAACTTTGAATGTCTGCAGTTGTTAGTTTAAAACTTCTGCATCGTGAGCACCATCATCACAATCGTCATCCTCCAAAAACGCCCCCTCCAACTCCCACTCGCCAGCCCCTTCCCACTTCACTGCTCCGCCGTCATCACCCCCGCACTCACCCTTCATCACCCCGTAGCAGCACCCTCAAACCCACCACCGTAGAAACCGAATGTACGCCCTTGTCTGTACGGCTGTTACGGCTCCATTTGACCTTCTTCAGGTCGCCAAAATTTGACTCGGCGATCAGTCCCGCCTCGAACACGGCTCGCTCCAAAACCTCCTCCACCGTGCTGTCAGGTGCTCCGGAGCGGTTGACCTGGAGGCCTGGACTTGTGTATTTATGTGGAGGGGTAGGGAAGGAGGGGGATGAAGGGGTAGGGTGGGGGGGCCCCCAAGCGAAGCCAAGTCAAGAAGGGAAACCAACCACTGCCCCTACGTCCAAAGTTGCAAACTGCTGTTGGAGGTCAAAGCAATAACGGTGAGAGCAGGAGGAAAGGGTGCTGAAAACCCCCAAACCAGCTACGTCACGAGTCATGTTGTCCTTCCTCCCCCTCCCCACATAACTACACAAGCCCGCCTTTCGCAGTGGGTTCTCCTTCCTCCTATTACCCATCCACCTCCTCATACATAACACCCATTCACCTCCTCACGCAGCCGCCCGCCCACACGCACCGACCGACCCATACACCCCCTCGCATGGCAGGCCACTCTATAACGCGTCCCCAATCGGGGCGATCACTCACCCACTCACCCTTAAAGGCGGTGCCCACATACCCCACATGCAGGGCGATACTGCGTTTCACCATGCCAGGAGGCCTTTTAGTCCGCAATACGCTGCCTGAGGCGGCGTAGGCCGCCTCCGCAGCTGCCCTCGCAGCCGCCTTGGCATCCAGCTGGACAGCGGTGACAGGGGCGCCGCCAGTCTGCGGCGGCGGTAACGGGGCTGCTGCCTCCACAATTGGGGCTGTATTGCTGGTTGTTGTTGTTATGGTTGTAGTGGTTCCGGAGGTGGAGTCAGGGGGCGAAGCTCCATCATCCGTGGCAGCAGCTGTGGCTGCAGCTGCAGAGCTGTGGTGAGTTTGGGAGAAGGGCATGGCGGGAGTGGATGCAGCTGTGGCCGCGCCGCTGACGCCTCGCCGGCTGCCTAGGGGGAAGGGTTTGCTAGAAGAACTACTGGAATTGGATTTAGATGGAGAATGGGGGTAGCCTTGAGCGAAAGGCAAAGGGCCTGCTTGGCAGTTGTCGTGGACGTTCTGTCGCGATTTTGGTGGTGTTGGCGGGTAATGGTAAAGGTTGGTTGCGCTGGAAAAACCTGCCGGGCTATTGACAGGAAATGCAGCGATATGCGGCGAGCTCGTTTTGTGGATGACAACTGCAAGGGTCGGCAGCTGGCTTGCGATAATGCGACGCGCGCAGGGGGCGGCGGACAAGGGGCCAGCGGTCGTTTGAAGCATAGCGACCCAGTGTAAGTAATATTTTAACCTATAATACGTTTGTTATATAGATTAATCTGGGAGCCATAGGAGATGTTGTGGCTCTGATGGGGCTAGTATCTTGCTATCTTTGTGCCAAACAGGGCCGACAACGAACGGCAAGGCCAACAGTTGTAATCCTGTAAAAGCATATTATCATTATTATTGCTTGTTATTTTCAGGTAGCGTTGACCCAACAGGCTCACTCTTTTCAAACAGTTGGCAGTTGGCCGAGACGGTACTCTTGTTAACCTGCCTTTACCCGGGTCGGAGCTGCAACACGTATGAATGGCCGTTAGGTTCTGCGTCTATCATCTTAGCTGAAAGTTAGATGGCCCCAGGTTGAGCGGCTGCGGCAGTTCCTGTGATGTCGTCTTGGTTTATGGCATGAGTCCGAGGGCCGCAACTCGCCTCAAAGCAGCCTGAAATAAGGCGTGCTAAATTTGCAGTGGGGTCCCGCAGGAGCCATAGATACTTGAATAGGGGATCGTCCAACCACAAAGCTGCGCACCTTTGCAACTAGCGCATCTTACTGAAACTACCGCCTCCTCCTCTGCTGTAAGAGCGCACCTAGCATCTTTGAGTGACTTCTTCTAGGTTGTCGGGGACGGATGGCCATCGGAGTTTTTGGAGATCCCCATCCGGTGGTCCAGCCTGGGGTTTCCAGCCTACCCGAGGGCGCCCGCTATTGGGGCATCGCGTTGGTCCGCAAGCCGCCGCAGCCACTTAAAAACACCGGCTGGTGGCTGCTATCACCTTGCCCGGAAATATAGATAAGGCACCCCCGCTTGCGCCCTACCTCAGCAAAATGTTGCAACACAGAAAGAACCATCGATGCGGCCATCGGTTCCCTTACCTTGCATATGCTTAGAAGCTACGTAGTGGGTACCTGTAGGCCAACCGGATTGAGGACTCCCAAGCAAGAAAACATAAGGCCCCTGCGCAAGCGAGTATACCAGCAGGCTGAAGATAATACATTTGCTTCCGTAACGGGGTTGTTATAACGCCCAACTTTTCATCTATAGATGTTAATTTTAATAACACAGATACAGGTTCCTTACACATTTGGTAGTTTTGCGTACCGGTGTTAGGTTGTGATTTTTGAGGTTGCGACTTCTAATATTGCCCCCTAACTAAACCGATCGGAAAGCGTAGTATCGTATCCTCTTTGTTTCAAGATTGCGGCCTGCGTGCAAACAGAACCCGTGACCTTGGACTTTTCCGTAACGCTAATGAGGAGCCTGTGATGAAGCAAGCGCATGCTCGTCAGGCTTCCAATGAAGGTCAGTGATTGAACGACGCTACCTTTGATGATGAGTTCGGGATTTAAAGCATCAAGTATCCCTGAAGCCTGGGGGCCATCCACGTACACAGATGTTTAAGGGAGCCAACCTCGTATCGTCACAACATCCTACGGGCGTACGTGGCTTACCAGAAACACCAATAGAGCTAAGAATATGAAGTCTTGCTCCTTTCCTTCGTGGACGGAACGGGCGTGTTATGGTACCAATTGTGTTTCCGATGTCTGCCTCTGCTGTAAAGGTTCTCGGCTTTTTTAAAGCTACCTAAAGGTGGCAAAGCCATAACCAAGGAGCTTTTCACCGAGGCGACTCCTTTGCTTTACATGTATGCAAAGGAGTGACTGATTGTGGGAGAATTTAAATAATGAGGTACTGTACGTTTGCCAGTGTCTATAAAGTATATGGATAGAACTGCAGAGACCCTGGGACAAAATAATAAATATGAAAAGCCCTTCCCCTTTGGTTGTCCCCTTCTTGTTTTTGTTATTGTAAGGGCAAGTAAGAATGTAGGTATGCTTTCGTTACATTGACACCTATTTGATACCTAATGTAACTCTCTGCCCAGCGACAGGATGCAAAGCTCGAAAGTGATCACCCACGCGGCCAACCTGTCGGTCACACGGTTGGTGTGTAGTTGCGATTGCCAAAGACGATTGAGTACCCCACGGGCGATTCAATAAGTAAGGTCTATTAAACATTTTCGTCAGCGCCCGGCTAGCTCAGTGGTAGAGCGCAAGGCTTTTACGGGCGATGAAACCTTGTGGTCGTGGGTTCGACCCCCACGCCGGGCGTACCACAAGCCAGGAGAAATTCCTGGAGAATTGCAATAATATCCTTGTTGTATGTTCTTGGTATGTTCGTTGTGTCCTTTTTTGTGTCCTTGCTCCAGTATCCTGCGATGCTGACCATTTTGCTCCCAGGCAGAGGCTTTCTCGCCGAAATTGAAATCAAGGCCCAGATTGGTGCCTGCCACCCCCCAAACCGCCACTTAGCCTGGCATGTAAGCCAGGTTAGCATCTGTAGCCAAGCGGTAGGCCAAGCGTACGTCATGTAAGCCACATTACCCTGGTTGGGCCCTAGATGCTCTGAACAAACAATGTTCCAAAATGGATTTCACGCGTGCCAGCTCAGTGGTAGAGCACGAGGCTTTTAATTGATATTAAACGTTATGTCATTAGTTTCGTTCCCATGCTGGGTGTGCCATAAGCAAGGTGTGATGCCGGCGTGCGTTGTCGACTTCGCTTGTGTTCATGGATCTTTTTCAAGCCACGCTCTTTACCCCTTCCCTTTTCATGAAGCCCCTGAGCTACTAGACGCTGCTTAAGCACGTGTTGTATGCATGTATATATGTCCCTACGTCCCTGCTCCTCACCCTTGGACACCTTTTTTACTCCAGGAGGCGCGCAGCATCGCACAGCAGTACAATTCCGAGATGGACTCGTACAGTGAGTCCCTTTGTGTACGTTTGCATATGTTTGTATGGAGAGACTTGGCTTTGCACGTGCAATTGCTGCCACCTTACTAGGGGAAGAGGCAGGTGACCTGGGGGGCATTCGACTTGGATCAAACCTGTGATGTTGTTACAGGGTGGTATAGCTTCACCAGCGGCCCCCTTTCCCGAGGCAATGCCCTGCTCTCCCCTGCTAGAGGGGCACCCTAATCCATTCACCCCATCTAATTTCAGAATGTATTCGTTGCGTTCAGCAACTCACCCGTTGCCCCTAACTGTCAAACATCGTTACAGCGAACTAACATGGTTACATACAGCAAACATCCCCACTGCAATGTCGCTGCAAAGCGACCATCGCCTGACGGCCCCCCAATTTGGAATCGTGTTAATGGCCCGCAGTTAAGACAGTCATGGATTTGCACCACAGAGGTCCGCAAGCGGACCCCGAAAAGTCCAGGTAGCCATCGGAATATCGTGACGTTCACCGTAAACCACCGAAATAGCGTGCAACGGGAGAGGAGACTCACCCTAGATGCCCAACCGCCCCCCAGGATCTTGAGGCTACATTTTGGCACAGGGACACACGTCTTCAGGATCATCTGTACGACGGCAGTTAAAAAATAAATCCGGGCACGTATGCGCCCAAGACGGGCCGGATTGGCAGCTGCCGTACGGCTGATGCTGTGCGCGCACGGGGGCTTGACCGGTACATGATCCTTCGCAATAACGTTTCTTATGACAAGTTACTTACAAGTTCCACACACAGGTGCGGGTGTGTCCGTAAAAGCCGGGGGGGGGGCATGGACGTTATATTGGTATTGATGCGGGTACGCGGGAGGCCGTCCTCCTCCTCCCTCGTTCGCTTCAGGGCGAAGCGCCTCAGCGCGACGTGCCTGGCCTCCCAGATTTCCGAGAGGTACCTGGCCAATGCCAGGGGTGGCGCCTCAGTCATAATGGTGCGTATACTGCACCCCTTAAAGGCGAGGTCAACATTGTACTTAGCCCGTATGCTCGTCATATTGTCGTCGTATTTGTCGTCGTATATTTGTCGTCGTCATGTGATCGTTTGGTTAGTTGAAATGCCGAGTGATGTCATTCATCTAGGGCCCGGCTAGCTCAGTGGTAGAGCGCAAGGCTTTTACGGGCTGAGAAACCTTGTGGTCATGGGTTCGACCCCCATGTCGGGCGTGCCACAAGTCAGGTGCAATGCCTGAATCTAGTTGATTTTACCTGTTGTCCTATACTGATATGGGCCCTCCGCTGCCCCATGGCATGCATCATTCGTGCACGCCTTCCATACAGTGCACCCTGGGTCCAATACATCCAACTCATGTACATATTAGCGGGCGTTGAATTGATTAGTGCAACAAAACGCCGATGCCATATTATCCGGGACCCTGGGGTCCCTGGGGTCCCTCGGGTACCTGGGGTGGCAACGTAATCCTACGACAGAGGCTGGCTTTGTCCGACGCCCAGTGTGAAGAATTCAATTCTAGTCACGTGCAGGTAAACATATTCCCACAAACAACCGACGTCTGGCTTCGGTTGGTTTCGGTGTCGGTGAATTGACCTGCTGGTCGCCTTGTGGTGATGCACGATCCCATGTGTACGACCCGTGTCCCACGTTGCGGCGCCCCGCGCTTGTGTTTCGCTCAGTTACAGCCAGGTGCTTCCTCATTTGATGTTTCTTACAACATATCCGTCCGCAGTGTCCCTCCGCGCCTGCGACCGGAAGGTACGGCAAGTGTAAGCAATAACTTAATGTACATGTACGTGGTTGCCGTCTATCTACAGTTGCACATGCAGCTAGGCATCTGAGCGAGCTGACATTGCGTTCCAAGTAATCAAAGAGCCCTCCGCTTAATGTTTTTTGATCACTGCACTTGGCTGCCTAGCATGGCCAGTTGGAGTGTATATAGTGAAGGTGGTGGGCGCATAAGGCTGAGTGGCCTTGTGTGGCTGCTGTGCCTTGCTTTCAGAGCATGCGCGCGTTTCCAAGGAGTCTCATATTTAAGATCATGAAGGTTATTCCACCTTGGATTGGCGAGAGCACAGTTCAGACACGGTTGCCATTGCAAGGTGCCTGATATCAGGAGCAGGCTAGTGTTCTGACCTGACGCTTTTGGATTAGCATGCCTACCTCATGGCGGGGGCAGCAGCAGGCAGGGGCGACTACCTGGACGATATCCTTCCAGCACTGCATCGTGCGCGTTGGTTTCAGCCACAAAAAAGGGGGCAAAGCGACTAGTTTTTTTTGTGACTAGACAACTGGTTTTTTTTGTCCTAAATTGGCATCAGTGACATGCGACGTGTTTCGTATGTGATACCCTCTAGCTAGGGGCGCCTAGCAAAGCATGTCGAATTAAACGGATGCAAGGATACCAGTGCCGAGTAATGGTTGATAGCACGACACGGAATGAGGGATAAAACAACTCACACATGAGCGAGCGGTCAAAGTGGCCAGCGGATAGTATGTAGCGCAAATGGGCAATCTATTCTGCTACAGGCAGGAAGCGCATGCAAAATCGTGCCCGTTTTGTAGGATTCTAAAAATGCTGGTCGAGCTTGCTTTTTTATTCCAATAAAAATGATTAACAAGTCTGCTCGGTGCCATTTACCCAAACACAAACATGCTGCCCGCGCCATCCGTACGGCATTAATCGACGCAATCTAGCCAAGTGTAATGCACAAGAGAAAGACTCGCGTATTGTCATTTCCATGTGCCTTGTAACTTGTGGCCATAGCTGACCGTCAACTCACGACACTTTCTAGGGACCTTGAGCCTGCCTGAGTTTTAATTAACCTAATAAACAGCAGCGCGTTTCACTCCTTTGTAGCTCTTTATCCAAGCTTGTACAGAGCGACTTGATATGTCATACTTTATCTTGTATACATGCCACAAAATCGGTGAGGCCAAGGCGTTGCTGCACACTGTGACGGTTGCAAGCTTTCATTTGAACAGTCCTCGAGGCATGACCAAGCTCTTAACTTCTTCACACATATGATTGGAAGTTTTTTCTTTTTACCCTAGATGCGTGAAGTCTACGTTCGCTAGCATAGGCGTTTAGTTGCCAGTTCAGGCAGAATGGTAATCGTCTAAGGCCTGCCAGGCATCCAGATCTGCTATAAATATGAACATCAATAATAGTGAAAAATTTCTCGTCATCCCCTACAAAGGCCGCAACAACCTTTCTGCTTTGTCGGCCCGTACTTTTGCGTTTTCCACATTTCTCGCTGCGCTGATCCTGCTTGTTCCATTTTTTGTCCGCACTTACGAATCAGGATAATTGAAGCCGCGCAGCTGCACTTCAAGCACAATAAAATCACCTGGGATGGTCCGCTCTTCATAGCGATGAGCATGGCCGCTGCCAAGGCGACACGAAACGAACGCGCTGCAGCATTACGAAAAAGAGCCATTGGAATGGTTTCAGGAACTGCACTGCTACTGACCTTGCTTGCGTCTTCTGCTCATGTGGGCTATGCACAGAGTAAGTTTGTGCGGCGGTACACCTTGGACAGACTTAGCCTTAGGCTTATTATGGAAGATACGGGAATGTATGCTTATTAAGATTTTACCCTTGTCGATGATATTCAGCAAAAAGGGACAAAGGCAACAATCAGGTAATGAAAGCGATTAGGGCCCGTCCGATAGCACTACTATTGTAACCTGCCTTGAAAAGCACAATCAGCAGCAGAATCTCCAGCAGGAAACAGCATACGTACACTCTTGGACAACCTTTGCGTCTTGGTCTGTCCCAAATCCTGCAGCGAACCCATCCGGTACGTGCTATCGCGCTCACCACTCGCCCTCCGGCCTATGCTTTGGTCAACACCCTGTCTTATGCTTAATAATTTCCACTTTTCCTGCACAGCCCGTTTCATGCTTCCCGCTTTCTCCCCCATCCCCAACGCTGCTGTGTGCCTACTTTCATGTCAACCGTTGGGGCGCTGGCATTCTTCCATGGCCCAAGAGCCGCTGGGCGACCAAGACAGAGACCCCGGCGGCATCAATCTTTGTGCTGGCCCGCATAAATGCCCACAGCAAGAACGACAGGTAGATCAGGAGCAGCAGCAGCAGCAACAGCAGCAGCAGCAGCACCTGGCGATTGTGCCTATTATTGCTGTAGCTGGCGACGTCACAGCGGCAGTTAGCAGCCGACGGCTGCTGGCAGATGCTAAGAACGACAGGACCGCGGCGCCCATGGCGACCATCATACCAATTATCATATCAATCGTGATTTTTGCGGGCTGCATCTGCTGCCTCTGCTTCAGATTGGCTAGGACCCGGCAGGACAGCTCGTCGATGTCGTTGGCTGGTCAGGCTTCGATGCTACAGCAGGTGCAGCAGGTGCAGCATCTGGTGCGTGGCATGTAATACACGCACGGCATGCGTGTGTGCATGTATGCATGTATGCGTGTATCCGTGTGTCCGTGTATCTGTGTATATGCGATTGTGATGCATGGATGGTAGAAACGCAATACATTTCCACGCCGTGCAGGGCGTGCCACTTACATACATACAGTGGTTGTGCGGGCTACCGGCATACCCCCCCCCCATGGTGTCTCATTTGGTTCCGACAGTGAATCACGTCATAGGGGCCCCGGAGGGATTAGGTCTGCATTGGTTTTAGGCCCAACCACATTGACATACTGGCTAGGGTAGTTGCACCTCACTCATGGGTATATGTCGTGTGCATGTGTGTTTGGATATCAGATTGTACATGCGGACGGGGGCTTCAACCTGGCCTCAAAACCAGATCTAAAAACCAATCTACGCGCGCCATGCACTGTGTGCTGCTTGAGCACAGGTTGCTGCACCTGCTTTTCTCATTCCTGCATAATGCCCTCACCCCCTCCCCCCTCTACCCCCTCAACTGCCGCCACTTGGGGGACCTGACAGCATCCTCCGTACAGCGGCCTTGCGACTACTCCACCTTTGATCAGTTGCGGGTCCGGACACCATGGCTCCCTCGGCCCGCCGCCACACGCCGCCGTTTACCCGCCACCGTTTCCATACGCCGAGCTGTGCAGCCAGCCGAGTCAAGAGGTCGGCATCACCTTGGCCGCAGCCAACACGCCCGCAGGAGATTCAGGAATTCCCCTCGTCACAGCCCAGAGCAGCACCAACGTGACTGACTGGGTACGCAGGATACAGGCTATATGTATGTATGTTGTTACAGGGTGGTTAACTTCGCCAGCGGCCCCCTTTCCCGGGGCAGTCCCTGCTCTCCCCTGCTAGAGGGGCACCCTAATCCGTCACCCCATCCGACTTCAGAATGTATTCGTTGGGTTCGGCAACTCACCACCAGCATCCAACCAAATCTAGCGGATCAACGGCGCATCAACTTAGTTCCTGGTCAGCTCGCAAGTTGATATTATCACGTCCTACACCGTCCATATGATGGGGGGCCACCTCCCATGTCATCACTCCTCAAACACCCGAGGAGCTGGCAGGCGGATTTGAACCCGGGTCGACTGGATCGACTGGGAGCAGAAGTCAGGCCTTAACTTCTGCCAGCCGCCTGCATATGTATGTATGTATGTATGTATGTATGTATGTATGTATGTATGTATGTATGTATGTATGTATGTATGTATGTATGTATGTATGTATGTATGTATGTATGTATGTATGTATGTATGTATGTATGTATGTATGTATGTATGTATGTATGTATGACGTTGATTACACTGTGGGCTGAAAAGCCGGGGGCCCAGGGCCGAAGCACAGCGCGGGGGGCGGGTGCATACGGCTGGTTAGTCTCATGCACTCCGCCCCCGGGTCAGGCCGCACGGGAAACGACGGCCGGCACGCAACAGCGCTTGTTTGGCGCTCCAACTAGACGGGATCTATGCCCGTTGGTCTCCTAACATAAACGAAGTCGCAA